ACATTTCTGGAAATACCTCGACAACAACATCACATATCAAAATACGATAATGACCGCTAGATAAGATTTTGACGAAACGAACGGTGCAAAAAAACTGCAAAACACCAATAATAAACTTGGTAAACAGCGTCCAACTTGACCAGTTTTTTAAAACTGCATTTTTAAAACTTGCTGGCCGGCCGTACTACGGTAGCTCTGGTCCTGCCACGAAATGGAAATTAGAAATGACGGCGCCTATAGAAAGGTGATTTGGGTAACTCTGTAAAAGTATGCTAAACTGCTAAGCGACTTATGTAAGTGACAGCTATTGTATATTGTTTGTTAAGGCTTTATCTACTTGTCTTTACAATTTCATATTGTAATTTCCATTTTCAGCCATGATTTTAGCCAAAATATGAAAGTGGTTCCAGTTACTACATTGAAAATACTTTAAGAAAATGTAAAAATGACAGAAATTGAGTTCTAGGTTGTTGAGAAAGGCAGTCATGGAATGGCAGGGAAAAATACAGTGGTTTAGTAGCTAGGGAAACTTTAGAAAATACTAATAAAAAGTAGCGAATACTGAACTAAACGTGGAAGTAATGACGATAAGAAAAAGTAGAAATATACTCTATGTCTAACTAATAGAAAGGAAGAAGGCTGAAAGAAATAGAAAAAAACTCCGACTACTTAAAAAAAGAACTTACTACTTTAAGAAATCTTAAACAAAAACTAAACAAAAAACCTAAACAAAAACTTATTGTTTATGTAATGAAAATAAGTCCCAAGGTTTATTCGGTCGTAATGGTATTTGATGTCCTATTTTTTTCGCTGTATTTGAACTTCGCCTTTGTTTTAGCCGGGAAAAATACACTACCCTTGCTCAAATAGAGCTCGCTTCCCAACCTAAAAGGTATTAGAGAAATTTATCAGAGAAACTTATAGTTTAAGTTTCGTAAAAATTTTACAATTTTAGGTTAACACTTGGCAGAGCCCTAAAATGAAAAAAAGTTGTGGAGAGATGGACAAAAAAAATTATATTTGCTTGAAAAGTAACAAAATTAATAAACCAAAAAATTGAACACAATAGCACATTTCGGCTAAAAACTCAGGAAGAAAATTAAATTTCAACAAAGTTCAACAAGCACACGTTTGTCGCCAAAAATTCGACGAATAGAATGACGCCAAAATCACTACAAATTTCCCACAGCAAGACTGTTAGAAACGCCTTAATATAAGTTAGATTAACACTAGCCCAGATTGACAATCGGTCGTGTCAATGTTATTCTGGTCCCGGGGCGACAAATATTTTCACATCAAATTGGACATGATATCCCCTTCATATACATATGGGCCATTATATGCCAAATCGCAAACTTTTTTCCCTTCACACCTCAGATTTTTTTAAAATTTCGCTGATCAGTAGAATCTGGGCCGGCATACAGAAAACCCCTCAAAGTTGCAAAATTTGCCACGTTGCCATCTGACGTACTCACTTTTAAAGACCTGTAATTTAACCTGTTTTCAATAAAATTTAATGGTTTTCCTTTCGGGAGATTTGTCATTTCTGAGCTTTAAAATGCATCTCTTTTATTTTAATTCTAACGGAAACTCAAGTACAATAAAAATGAGATTTCAAACAAACATTTAAAAAAGAAAGGATCTTTAAATTTTTCAAAAGCGACACATCTTGTGTGGAATTTTTCGCTCTACAACATATCAAAATTTGGAGAAGGCGATCTTTAGGTACCGCGAACTACAAGCCAGAATGCAATGTAAAACTGAAAAAACCTCACTATTTTTGCAGTGATCCCACGTATTTTCTATGACAAAAGCGCCCTGATATGCCGACCCGTCATACCAAATGTCTGCTGCTTCAAGAAGCGGTCCGGACGGTTTCGCAACTGTAGAAATAGTGGATTTTTTAGTTTCATATTCCATTCCGGCTCGTAGCTCCTGAATACTGAAAAACTGCCATCTCCAAATTTTGATATGATATTTTTTTAAAAATTTAGGGATTTGTTTTTCCCTTAATGTTCGTTTGAAATCTTATTTTTACTGTATCTATGTGGTTTTTCTAAAAAATTAAATTATTTGATATGCTTTTAGAAGGTAAGAAATATGTTGAAAAAAATTATTAATTTTATTAAAAACAAGCTAAATTACAAGCCTGCGAAAGTAGAGATGTCAAGCGACACTTCGTCAAATTTTGCAACTTGAGGAGGTGTAACGTGGGGAGAATTCATTTTTCCACTTTTTTTTCGGCTTTCTGTATGGCCTAAAATCTACTAATCAGCAAAACTGAGGAAAATCTGAGACACGAGAGAGAAAGTGTACGACTTGGCATGGGATGGTCTATATATATATACCAACGATGCCTCCCTACATTACTGCCACTCACTTGTTGATTCATCGACAAGTTTGCAAAACTGTAAGATTAATATGAATGAAATACGACACAATTCTTACTTTTTTTAGTTATCAATTGGCCAAAAAACGCGCTAGGGAATTCCTATTTGTCTGTTTTGAGCATGCATCGTTCCTAAAGTTAATTCGGCGTTTACACTAGAACTCCACTTAATGAATCTCTAAGTCAGAACAAGGGGAATTTACCCAAACCTGCAGAATAATGTTCATCCACAAGACTTTTCTTCAGAGAAGAAGTAATACAACCTTGACAGCTTCCAACTGGGGTCCTTCAGCGTTTCAGTATACGGAAGTTCCGACCACTTCGGACAGAACTTCCACTCGTAAGTGCAGGTGCTCCTCGTCTAAATCTGTACCAACAAAAGCACCATTCATGTTACCATCTGCGAAAGTACTGCTTTTCTTCACACTCACCTACCAGAAAGGTTCATCTCTGGCAATAATCTTAGATTGTACACTATA